ACAATTTATATGACAGAAATATAAAGTGCTGTTATTGATGCATGACCAATGGTATTTCCACGTTGTTGTACAAAGCGCATAGCAGGATCTGTACTATATGATGTGTCAATTTCCATAGCTTGAACCGTTTGTTGATAAGTAAAACGAACTGATGGATATCGTTTATTGATTTCTTCTACTGCAGCTAAGCCCGCCTGAATCCGTAGCTCTGCACGCATTGGTCGTTCGGATACAGAATATACCTTACTCAGGCCAATTTGAGATTTACCCGTGCATTTGTTGATATAATCGATTGCTTGGTAATATTCTTCTGGTGTCATTTTACCTTTTAACCACCTAGGATCAAGAAGAGAATTTGGATTGAAAAATCCATTAGCACCTTGGAGTTTAACAATTCCACCGTTCATAAGTTCGGCTACCGGCAAACCAGGTGTGAGATTTGTAATTTCCATTTCAACATCTGCTTCTGTATATTGTCCAAACATCCCATTAACACAACCCATTTTTCAATAGAAAATCTTTCAATGGAATGTAAAATAATAATGGTCCAACGACTAACGTCAGTTCTGATTGATATTTCATCAGTCGTCGATGCTTTTATGTGCTCGTTTAAAAGCTGGTGACGTAAGAAAACAAACAAAGGAGCATGATAACAGAATGCATTGACAGTATTACTTTAATGTTTATTCTTTTTACCATCTTCACATTCTTTGTTCTTATCATAGTTGTTTCATACGATTAAAAAGTGCGATAAGGCACATGTAAACTATTGATCTCCAAATTACTATGAATTTTTGTTTTTTTTTACTTTATGAAAAGGACAAATTTACGTAGATATGTATGAACAATATAGAAAGAAATACAGAATACAAATGATATTGAAAATAAGAAAAACAAAATGTTGATACATCTTTTTTTATTTTGCTAGTGGAGTAGAACTGATTCCTTGAAGAAGGCTTGCCAGTATACAGTAATTACTCTAACATAGGGATAGAAATAGAGGGTGTGGATGTGGATAGGAATCATATAAACATGCTGAAATCTACACCCTTGCATCCACACCCACATGCTAGGTATTTCAAACGCAACAATGCGTACTCTAAATTGACTGCAATAAAATGATTTGTGCTGTGAACAGTAAATGTCGTTTCATAAATTGAATCTTGCTCTATGCTTGTAGTCGTTTAGATGTCTGTGAATGATACAAATAGAATTCATGAACTTCTTTTTCTAACATAATGCGACAATGTACGTCGCAGAAAATCTTCATTTAAGGTAAGCAGAATGATTTTTTTTTGAAAAAAGGTAGTAATATGCACTTAACAGTCGATGAAGTGTGAAAATATGAAAATGAGAGAAATTGAATGTAGAATACATTCAACTATTTCTCTGATATAAAGGTTATTTTTGCCATTTGTTTAATTGATGAAAACAAGACAGACGTGTATGACGTTTCGCAAATAGTATAAGTGAGTCAACATCGATAGAGTCAAAGACTGATTCAAGTCTTGCTCTCTTCTCACCTTCAAATTTGCATTAGTTCTGTCTTTCAATCAGGATAACACACGGTTAAGTAAAAATAACATTTATCTATTTTATGATTTCACAAAAACACTTTTACTCCAAAATAAATTATTTTCGTATTTTAATTGAAACTACATCGAAATGAAACACCATTTTGCACTACCTTACAGTTAATTTGGATAAAGTTGTAAGTTAAAAATTTGAATCAACGATTTCAATTATACACGATGAAAAATGCATTACTTGTACATAATAAAATGTTGAGAGAAATTAGTAAAGAAAATAATTTGTCGACTAAGAGCTGTTGTTATTTTATAGAAAATCTTTTTCAGAATATCCATTGTGAATATGACTAAAAATCTCATGCAATTGATAGTTATTTCTTTTTTTTTAAGAATTACTCCATGAAAAAACTACACAATAGACTCATTCGTCCTTTAAAAGTAAAAATGAAAAGGTTATAATGTGTTAATCGACCAATAAAGCAAAACATAATGAGAAATATTAAATAAATCATTTGGATTATTTTTCTGTTTTGAGCTATGAGTGAATATAAGATAAAAATTAGTTCTTGTATATTAAATTAATGCAAACACAGATGAAATAATCTCTAATTGATATATTACTTTCCTTATATTGATAAGCTGTACAATGAAAACAACGTATTATCGATGAATCATAAATGAAATAATTTCTTCGATTGTAATTTTTAGAGCATTTATACAATTACGAATTATCAATAAAGTATTATAGATTTGTATTTTTGATAATAGAATTGATAATATTTGAATGATGATAGTTCTAAGTAGAAACCAATTACTCATAAAATTATCTTTGTGAAGATCATTGATAAACCATTCATGTTAATATAAATGAAATATGTTTCTATTTTAAAATTACAATCAAGTTGAATGACAACGATTTCCAGCACGGTATGTTTCTTATGTGTATAATATAAAATATGAGATAAACGTTCGTAAAAACAAGAATCAAATCAATAGAATAAAAAGTTATATACAAGTTTGTACAACAATTAAATACTTTCACTAATATATAATAGAATCTAATGCTTTTCATTCTTGTATTGTTTTACAAAATACTGAGAAAGAATCACAAGATTCGTCAAACCTAAGGCTACATCGAGTTATAATTTTTCTAATGAAATAGAAGACAAAGTTGGAGATACAAATGAACATCGTGTCAAGCGATATAGACATTTATCACCTCAAATTCTCGTTAAAACGATTCTGGTAAGATAATCAGAAAGTGTGATTTCAATTCACCATAAAACTTTTTTTTTTTCGTTGCATTGTTATTTCATCTCGTTCTTCTCTCTGATGTATAGAATTATAAATGCTGTTATAACACACAAATTAGGAGAGATAATGATTAGATGAATTCATTTTGATTATAAAAGTTTTGAAAGTCTTCATTGCTGTTGTATTTAGACCTCGATGTTGTTTCTTCAATTTTATGAAATTTAATAATAATTTTCGCAAAAAAAAATCCAATTTCAACTCTGATATATCAATCATTGGAAAGAATGGGTGTTGGTCGGTTCTTTTGTTTACGCTCACACCTACACCCAAGTGCACAATCAATATGAAAAAGTGGAGTGGACTTCATGGTGTTTGTTTTTCACAAAAACAGAATCGAAAGCTTCCTTACCTATTTTGATATCATTTCATATTTGGTTACCAGAATTGCTTTAGCATCTTTTCAATTGTGATTTGTTTGCATTCCGCCCACACATTCGAATGCACTGAATGTGAATTTGTTTTATATTTATAACAAGATTGGTGAAAGAGAAAATTACAATAATAATTCTGATATGTTAAATCAATAAGAGAAAAAATGCGACATAGTTTGGTGTGATATACGTGTGAAACTGGAACAAAATACGTCATTAATTAGTACACCCCAACGGTATAATTGCAACTGTAAATCACTGTCCAAATACGTGGTAAGCTACAATCGAACATAACAACGCTCTTCATCCCTGATGGGAAACGAACACAGGTGATAGTGGACGAACGATAAAACTAGCAGCACGTTTGATAACTGCTTTATATAACAAAACAGATTGAAAAATTTGTTCTCATTTTTAAACTTATAGATCAGCCATTAAAATATGAAGGCTATCATTGTTTCTCTCTCTGTCATTCTTATTGCTTTCCTATCATTATCATCAGCTAAAATTGAGATTCCAACATGCATTAAGAAGATGACGGAATCCATTCCTGGTGGCATTCAATGGAGTGCATATACTCGTATTGACCAATATTTGTATCATGACAAAATCACCTATCTGGCGATTAGCGGCTGTTGTGACCGAATGAATCCTCTTTTTGATGGAGAATGCAATCGTATTTGTGCTCCTTCGGGTGGTTTTATAGGTCGTGGTGATCGTAAATGCACGGACTTTTATGAGACAGCCAAACCATTGGGAAATATCTGGATAGCTACACGCAGCAAATAAATCAGTGATATGAGATTTATTGTCATCATAAACATTAACTATGATACGAAATAAAATGATATAATCCAGCAACAGTATATGTTTTTGTTTGACTACAAGATATGCTCTCTTCAATATCAGATTGAGACTCCGGGATAGATGAAAGCACGATACTACGTAGTCAGTTTAGATATTTGACGAGATTTGAGTGTGTTCGAATAAATTTATCGTACAGCCTTCGAAAGATTCTAAACTTTTGGTATGATAGCAATGATACTTTCGTGACAACAACAAGAAGAATGACATTTGACAAATTATCTATACTTCTCTGCGGAAACAAATAGGCTAGAAATCATAAACAACAATAAGCTGATTCATAAATGGATGGTCATTCTGACAAAATCCAAATTCGTGTATCAAGCTTTCACACAAAAAAAAATGTGCCGCGAAACGCAAGGCAAAGACGTGTCAGGTGCACTGATTTTTTGCTACTGCCAACGTAATTTAGGATTACAATTCAAATTTTTTCCATTTCTTTCATCTGTTCACAGCGGTTGATGACATGTTAATGCATATGAATTTGATAAGGAGAGGATGGAAAAAAACAGCAGAGATTTTGCAAGTTGATAAATCTGTTAAATTCTTCTTGAAGAAAAGAAAACGTCTCACAAGACAAACGCTTAGATAGTTTGAAACTTAACTCTAAACTGTTCTGTTAGAATCTTATCTCAAAGCAATGAAAAGTCGATTCATTTTTGTTCTCAAATATCTTTGTTGGGAAAGAACTTCTTCCGAGGGTAAAAGTTTCACGAACATGCAATCGGAAGTATTTCATTTGATGAGTCTATTCAATATATGTTCACAGCAAATAATAAAAAAAATGATATGTGTCACAGGCCTTCAATTGAGAGAGAGTTTGGAAATGAAACCGATCCGAACATTTAAAAATAGAAGTTACTGACTGAAAAACGGTAAAATATTCTGAAGAATCGTTGGGAACATAAAAAAATCATATTTGCATCCGAAATGCATGATTTTTAGGCAGATATTTGAGTGCAACTTTTCCTAGAAAATTGTAAAAACGCCACAGGAATCATATTGAAATGGTCCAAGACTGAATAGTGGATTTCTAGTAACGTTCTAACAGGTTTCCAAACAAAACATATCGAAAGTATTGTGAGCCAAAAAACCGGCCTTATTTGAAGGCGTGCTTTGAAGTTTCTGTTTCATGATTTTAACATTTCAAGAAGGATACTTGAACTTGAAAGCATAAGAAATGGTGATTTTTCGGTATTAATAAAACAAGAAGGAAAAATCTGTTCAGATTATCACGAAAATCGCGTGCAGAACACTACAGTCTATATACAAATAAAAATGTACATTTATCTACTTTTCTCTGCTGCGAATTTTTGTTCAAATGTTGATCCATCACGTGTGTGGTAGATTAGTCTTCGTTTCTGGCCATTGATAGATGACTCTGCACATGAGTAACTGATTACTGTGACACATTCTATTCTGTTCTGTTGCAATTTGCATAACCAATTATAACTCATTTTTATTCAGATGGTTAGATATCGAAAAATAGCTACACAGCGTATCTTTTTCTTTTTTTCACCGTACTTGTCTCGTAAACGTTCGAAGCATGTTGCCGTGAGCGTCTTGCATCATGTTTACTTTCTGGAATGTAGAAAAAAACCTGCTTGTGCTGTGGCAAAACATCTATCTAACAACAGATTGCCTCTTATACAACGTTTGATGGAGTACTTGATCTCGATCCCAGGTGAGACAGAATTAGTTTTCCTACAAAAAATAATAATCAAAACATATGCAATGTTGACAGGCCACCATCTATGAAACGCGAGACAATGGTTGCTTGGATCGAGCATTGTGACTATTGTAGTACCAACATTGCCGCCGAGCATGGCGTAATATCTAACAGATATTAAAAAAAAACGATGTCATAAGCAATTATTTATGTTGTAGGCGTCACGTAAAGAGATCATCAACTGAGCGGCTTATCAAGCACTATTAGCTTCTAATGATTATCCTGCCCTGGCCAATCATTTTCTATGTTATTCAATTCTACTCGGTAAAGGGTTTTCAAAAAATTTGGTTTTCTTTGTTCAAAAGCACAATATCTTATTTTTGAAAAACAGTTCGCCATGTAGCATAATGAGTCTTTCTTGGATTTCTATTGAGTTCAGAATTGACTATTGAAAAGGATTGAATGAGTGAGTGAAAGTTCGGATCTCAAGTCATTCAACTTCCAACGTAAAATTTCGATATGATCAATTTATTTTGATTTTGTCTTACTTTCAAGAGAAAGTGAAATAAAACAATATAATAGATTTCATATTCTAACAGTAATTTTTCGTATTTCAATTATTCTTAATTGGTTTCTTCTTAATCATTTTTTTTAATTAGCCCCAGTCAGATTTACTCCTCCTCCCATATCAGTTTTCCCTAATTTGTCTCATATCAATAATCTTTAACTAAGTAATAGTGAATACTCTGTGTTCTCCATCCATCCTTGCATTTTTTTGGTTTATTTGACTATTAAGTTGCTCACGCCGTTTTCTGATGAAGAACATAGTCAAACAGGATTGGCGATCAAATCTAACTATATGTCAAGACTGCCCATCTCAAAATATGATACTTGTAATATTTTTCCGTAGTTCTTTCTGGTTACCCTACATTAAAGGGACTTGCTTGACTTGTTCGAACTCTATGAGCATGGATCGAATCATGAAACAATTAGTGGGAGACAAACCAATTCAAGACAGCAGTAACCACGATCCACAAGTTGGAAATTCACGAAAATCAAGAAATTCAAGAAAATTTCTAGAATCGCTAGAATTCCTTGATTTTCTTGAATTCCAAGGCAATCTTGAGGGTGAGGGTGAAGGCATTCTCTTCCTGTATAGTAGAGTGGAATTCAAGGAATTCAAGAAAATTTCTAGATTTGCTACAATTGCTTCGTTTTCTTGAATTTCAAAGCGATCTCGAGAGTGAGGGTGAGGGCATCCTCTTCCGATATAGTATAGTGGAATTCAAGAAAATCAAGCAATTCAAGAAATTCAAGAAAATTTCTGGAATTGCTAGAATTGCTTGATTTTCTTGAATTCCTTGAATTCCATTACAGTGTAAACTTATAAGTCAGTATTTTATGTGCCCTTCTTGAATTTCTCGAATTGCCAATTTTTTGATCGTGGTTATATCTCATTCAAGACCATTTTAGACTGTGGGTGTGGGTACGGAGTGGGTGTGGGGTGTGTCGATGTGGCTGTGGATGCGGGTGTCGGTGTGGGCATTTGAGTTGGTGTAATGCTTGTGTGAACTCAAATCTACAACCCACATCCAGACGCACATTCATAGCCCCCACCCACACCAACACATCCACATCCACCCACATCCATTTGTTTTTGGATGATCACTTGTTATACTATTCTAGACCGATTTGTGTGATCAGTCGTAACAGATGTAATATCAGTATCAACTTTAAAGAAGTCATCAAAGAAGAAGGCAATTTACCATTGAGTATGTTTCATTAAGAAGTCTTTCTTTCATTATTTAAGTACTTTTTTCATCATCACATTCGAATCGAAATGTAATAATTAAATGATTAAAACGGACAAATATGAAAGATAGAACATCTTCAACTAGCAATATTTTTTTAGCCACATAAGTAACAAGTGAATCTATCATTAATGGTGCTACACCCGGAGATTCTCATTTGCAAACATAAATAGAAAGTAAAAACCTGATTTAGACAGTTAACTAAAATTTCATATAATGACCAACATCATGAATCATACTTTTATCTACTTTCAATTCCTTTACCATATTCATATGTATTTTTTAATACTTTTGCAGCTGTAAAAAACAAAAATATTTTATTTTTCTTTTATCGTAATTATTGAATATGCGTATATCATAATTTATTTCATTTTCAGTGTTATCTCTAAATTGCAATGTTTTATGAGCTTTTAGAAAACATATTAATGTCGACTTAAATATTTCCTGAATATAAATGACATTCATCCTTCTTTTGACATCGCTCTTATTCTTATTTGTTCTAGAATATATTGTGTCCAGGGCATTTTTCATAGTCAACTTCAGAGCAAGGAAGAAAATGCAACTTCAGTACTTCACAGAAAAATCTAAAGGGTAAGTAGTGGAGCAGTGTTTTCTTTCTTTATTCTTACATTATTCTTATCGTATGGTTTTCATGATTTTTGTATCGTTTTTAAGACATGTTGTTGATTTGACATTATTTCCATGGAATTTGCTTGATGTAAAATGAATTCTTGTAAAAGTAAAACTCAGAAAAAAAAGGCCAATGATTTTGAAAAGCATGCAGAACAAGCGTTCGTTTCATTATTAGAAAGTTCATTTCTAATTGATTTCTCTAAGCATTTCCTGACATTCTAATTAATTTTTTAAATTTTGATCAAATCTCTTTTCTTTTTCATATAGTTCATATCAGTAGTAAACCATTTGAATTTATTTCAATTATGGGACATGGAATAGTTGGTTCTATACTAACTTTAATTTCACTTATTCATGCTTCATTTGCAATTGTGATTTCGGTTATTGTCATCGGTATTATTATCTATCATCAATATCATAATCGTTTAAGACGAGAAGAGAAAATAACTCTTATTCTCTCTGCTAATATCTATTTTTATATGAATATCTATGTAGTGTTATTAATCTCATGTAATATTCAAACATTATTAGGTGACATATATGAGAAAAATTTTGATTCATCATGGTGTACATTTAGAGAATATTTTACTGGTGTTACATGTTGTGCTGTATTTAATGCTTTCGTTATTCAGGTAATTATCAGAAAAATGTCTATTATGATTTACAAGGTTCAAAAAGTTTAAAGATAATTTTATTAGTACACAACATAAAAATAAGCAATACATTATAAAACATACATCAGTATAAAACTTGTTACATTTTGATAATGTCGCTAATAGTCAAGATATATTCATTAGAATAAACATAGATGAATTTTCTATATGTTCCTCTCTATTATAATGAACTTCTAATAAAATGTCAATTATTGATAAAAGAGAATTATGTAAAAACATCATAACGAATGTTGAATTTTCTCAAATAAAGTCTGACTCTCCGAGAGTGTAGATTACCAAGATAAAAAAACCTTCTTTCCACACTTTTTATGAAGTTTTGTTTTTGTAAATAATTTTTGACATATGATATGTGGATATTGATTTCCATTCTTAACAGAAGCATATGATGAAAATAAATATAGAATACCTTTGGAAAACATGTATACAGTGTAGAACATCCCAAACTATTATATTCTAGTATTAGAATTTGCGAAATGAACTAGATAGAATGATAGAACAAATAGTTTTCTATAAAACGAGATATTGTCTGACTCTATACATAGTTTCTGCTCTGAACTATGTCCACTTGTATATGAAATAGCAAAAATAGCTCTTGAGCGTTTCTTAAAATTTCTATCATTTTACGTTGTTTGTACAGAATTTGCTCACAATAACTGATGCTAGAATGCAATGAAATTGGACATTGTTGATTATATGTTAGCGTCCAATCTAGGATTCGAAATTGGATGGATATTAAATCAGGTAAATCTAGGATTGATCAACTACACCGTGTCCAATCTGAGATCGCCTATAAATTTTAAACAAATCTCAGATTGACTTAGACCAATGTTGGATTGAAAAAAAAATAGTATGGCCAATCTCGAATTCGCGTACTCCAAAAAAAAGAAGGTCTGCAGAACCTTTTTAGACTTCTGTCTAGTACCCGGGTTCAGAACCCACTAAAGTGATTTCGCACGAAACAAAAATGGTTCTGACACCCTCTGCAGTAGCTTTTTTCTCATCCAGAACCATTTTTGGTGGGTTGTGAATTCGGGTACTACACAGAACCTAAAAAGGTTCTGCAGACATTCTTTTTTTTTTAGAGTAGGCCAATGTTAGATTGATGAAAAAGGCTACAGAGAAAGCATTTCCCTATGTTTAAGCTGATTAAATCTGTTTTTAGTCAGCAAAAACATCTCAATGAGATATTGAAAATTCGAAGAGAAGTCATTTTATTAAGATCTGTCTTCTCGATTTGTGATCATTCAAAAAATTTCAGACTTTATCCAAGGTATTTAAGAAGACAAACCATCGTTTGCAAGACTGATTTTTTCAGAATTTTAAGAATGCTAACACATGTTCTCGTTTTTATATTAATATCAAATCCAGGATCGAAAAGCAGACAGAGCGAGAGCAAGGGTCAGGATGGATGTACAAGTTCATTTTGTGAAATTGAGATTTTCTTCAGTGCAATTGGGACGTGTTATAGGCTTTCATAAAATAAATTATGTCATGTATATAAATCCAGTCGATCTAAAAAAAGTAGACTCCCATAATCCTTCGAATTTTTGGTCTAAATAAATACTCTCTTCTTAAAATAGTTAAATAATTAAATCAAAAAAAAAATTCTTGCATATTAGTTATTCGAAGAAACCAAGTGATCTCGCAATTCATACTCTTGAGGAGCAGCTATTTATTTCAACAGAAGGTTATAAACACTCTCATAACTGTAAGACTTATATCTCTAGAATATTTCTACATTCGTAATATCAGTTTTTAATATATAATTGAGGTCTTTTACCTGGCTAAAAATAGAGTCAATCATCTTAATCCTTTATCCCCCGGAGTGGTTTCAGATGAACCACTGATAAAATCATCACAAAAATAGAATATTAGACTCCCCAATATGCTAATGGTATAAACCGATCCATTAGGATGAGTGTGGCTGTACGTGATAGTCTTCCAACTACACCCTACACCCACACCCGCAAAAAGTGACTTACATATGTTATACATGCAAGCATCAAATAGTTTTGATTTAGACTATGCCAATGCAAAGCTTTTCTATCTTAAAGCAAAGCCGTTTCACTTTTCTAGCTTTTTAATATTAAGAAATATCATGTTATTCGTTGAAAATAATATATTTTCTTTATTCGAAATCTACAATTTTGTCATAACTCTCATAAATGCGAAAGCTTCGAAAATGCTATTGATTTAAGTACATGTATAAATATTATATCAAGTTTGAATAATATTCTATCTCATTTCATTTTCTAGGCCTTCTATCGTCTTTGTCGTATTGTGTATTCAAATCATAGATGGATTCGATTTTTTTGGCTTTATGTCATCCCAATACCTATTCAATTAGTAGGAGCTATTATTATTTTATGTCCTATTCTGATATGGCATGATGTCACATATTTACCTAATGAATATTATTGTTCGCCTGCATTCACAAAAACTCGTGGTATTCTTTGGGGTACATTTACTGCTTATGGATTACCTCTCTTACTTTTCTCTCTTATATATCTTCGTATTACAATATTTATTCGTCAACAACCCCTTAACCAAACATTGATGGTAAAGCAACGACAAAAACGAGATTTGGCTGCTATTCAACGAATTTTTATTAATGTTGGTCTATTGTTGGTTTGTGGAACTCCAGGTGCAATTCTTTTGATAATGTACTTCGTCATTGGTATTGAATATCCATTAACCTATCGTATTATGTGGGTTGGACCCGCAGTATCTATGGCAATATTAAGTATACAAATGATATTTATGACACCTCAATTGAAAAATCTTATTACTATAAGACGATGACAAAATCGTGTGACTACCTTACATGTTACAATTCCAATGAGGGCCATTGCTACTAATCAATGATTGAATTATCGATTACTATTGTAAGAATGAACTTCATATTTCCTTCATGAAACAATTTATTTATCTCAATGGAAAACTATCTTCTGTTTATTTCTCAATAATTATAATATCTTATTGATGTATTTCTTTATTTTATTTGAAATGAAATATAAAGCCTAAAGGCAAAGAAAATCTACTGATGAATTTTTGACAAAAATGCATAATTATCTCTCTTTAGAATAATATGTAGTTATTTCTTAGCTGAGAAATCTCATACAAATCTTCGATAACCGTTTTTCCTTAATTTAGAAAAGAGACTAATAGCACTGTTAATGTAAGAAGAAAATTCAAATGAATTAAGGGAAGCGCCAGAAGACTTGTCTCTTGGAGAGAGTTTTCAATGAATATAATTTATCATTAAATTCAAAAAGTGTGCTGATAAAAGCTTAGATATAGTAATGCATGGAGTAAAACTAAAATTTTTAATCTACTGACATCACAAATTGTTTCTCTTCACCAGAAGCATAAAAAAACTTGTGTCTATTTTGAATATAAAGATAATACCAGTGCGTCAAAATAATTAAAAAAACACAGCATGAAGTAAAAGTGTTTTTTTTTCTTTCATAAACAGAAGAAAAACAGAATTATCTTATTATCGAGATTTGCACTTTTTACAATATGTATTCAGATGTGAACAAAACAGAAAAAAACACTTAGTAATATTGATGCAAATGGCATTGAATAATTATGCACAATATAAAAAAGAAGAAAATAATCATTCTATTAGAGATCTTCGATTTAATAATGGTCATGTTCTTTTTACTTATATTAATCCTCTGAGGATCAGCGTACTTTATGAAGTACAGTTTTTAAAGTTAGTTAGATTTTAGAATAGCTCGCAATCACAAAAAGATATTGAGATGCAGTTTGTTGTATGACATGGAGGAGACTTCTGCGCATACATCTATATAAGAATTATAATCCAAATGCAGTCTCTAAGATGATAAGTCTGATGAGTTTTTGGTACGTCCCATCTAGAAGAAGTGTGGATAATATGATTTCGTGGTTCTCAAAATATTTCCATTTTTCACGTTGAAATCCAGTTAGGAGTGACTTGTAAAGATTGAATTTGCGATAGCTCTCTATCAAATTCTGGCCCACAGCCGTATCTTCCTTTGGGAATGACCAGTATACCTCTTCGCCATCCACGTAGGGGAGCAAGCATATGTCCCGAAAAGAATGTTAAAGATTATTTAAAAGTTTTGATGAAAATATCAATAGTACACACTGCCAATATTAATTATAAAGTGTCAAAGAAATTTCATCCATTGTTTGAGCATTGGTCCTTAAAGGATTAATCAATGGGAAAAACATTCTATTAGACAAATTCAATTTGCTGCCCAATTAAGCTCGAAATCATCTTATACAATTATTTAATTCAAAAAAATACCAATATTTAATTACTTCAATAAATCAAATAAATTAAGAAATGAGAAAAAATACAGATATAGATATTAAGCTTAATAAATAGATAGTAGTGGCATAACCAGAATTTGTTGGGTGATTGGGTGGCGCCCTAGTGATTTTTCAAAAGGTTATTTATGGTGATACATCATGTTCATTTTTCATAGAACAAGGATGCCATAATGGATTTAGCTTTAAAAACAGTCCTTAAAAATAATGCTTTGTTTATTTATTAAAAAATATAGATGGCAATAAAATTGTTGGTGATGGAGTAGTGACGATAATGACTAGAGATGCCACATCTTCTGATATGGTAGGAAAAATTTCGATGTTAGAACTTTTTTCAGAAAGCTTTCCGATCTTCTGATTTTTGAATCCTTTTTCCGGTCACTGTCAGCCTTTATGATGTGCAGAGAGCTTTTTCTAAATTTGAATTTTTTTGAGTACTTCATTATACTTTAACTATAACGATGGATGTCATATCGTTTTCAATAGCAATTTCTATAAAATAATTGTGTTTTTTATCAAGAACTGCATAAGATTGGCCAACGCATGAGTCTTTAAGGAACTGTTCATTGCACAATTTAGTGTAAGGCCTACTTATTTAGTGAAACACGATCTGAAAGGAGTGTTGAAGTGTTTAGGGGTAGAAATTTGCACCCTACCCCACAGACCGTGACAGATAGGTCTCTGAATCCATCACAGACCGTGACAGACAGGCTTTGGGCCGTCGCAGACCGTGACAGACAAGTCTCTGGATCCATCACAGACCGTGACAGACAAGTCTCTAGACCCGTCGCCGACCGTGACAGACAGAGCGTCAGACCCATCACAGATCGTGACAGACAGAGCGCCAGACCCATCACAAACCGTGACAGACATGGCTCTGGACCCGTCACAGACCGTGACAGACAGGGTTCTGAACGCGTCACAGACTGTGACAGATAGGGGTCAGGGGTCATTATAGACTGGGATAGAAGACTTCAAGGAAATATCAGAGATGATACATAACTAATATATGATTGGAGCATATATGGAGCATTATTCTGTTGAAAATCTATAATGTAAGGGAAATCATTATGAAGAAATGTCAAGAGGGAACAAGCGTACTTCTGTATTTCAGAAGTACAGAAATACGAAGAAGTACCAAGAAGTACAGAGAAGTACAAGAAAATATAGAGAATTACTTAGAACTATTATGAAATATGTAAGCGCATGAGTGCGCTTAGAAGCTCGTTTAAATTTATTTTCAAGGGAAAACACAATGTAAGCAATAAATGTAAAACGATTGTTATCAGATTTGCGACTTGTTTGGATAACTCGAGAAAGTCGATCGTTCGATAAACTAGTGGCGGAGCCAGGGGTGGACTGGGGAGAGGGGCTCAGCCTCCTCCCCCCCCCCAGGAAAATTTTAAAACCATGTATTTTATTCGAAAACCGGGGTTCAGAGGTGTCTTAGAAGGGGCTGAGCCCTCCACAGCCTCTCCCAGCTCAAGATCCTGGCTCCGCCACTACGATAAACGCATAATATTATCTGTTAACAGCCAACAAGCCGATTGTTTATGTATGTACTGGGTATTCCAAAAGTCATGATCACTGAAGATTTGCGTATAAGTCCATTATTAATCAAGCTTAATCTAATAATTTTTTTTTTGTATTTGGAAGAGAAGACCAGTAAGTTTTGTTTCATAAAGATGAAGTTCATAAATACTCCTTGAAAGTAATACCTTTGACTTCATTACAAAAATTTAGATTTTTTTTATTTCAAAAAAACATAATAGAAAGCTTTTTCTTTCTGCTATCGGTTTCTTTCTCTATTTTAGTTTTTAAGGGATCCCCTCTCAAAAAAAGCCACTTTTCATCAGAATCATTGAAATTGAGATAAATACATGGGAAAGATAGTCCGTCATTTGCTCTTTCGTAAACAATAAAAACTTTTCTTCGATACCTCCTTTTTTCCAAAAAAATTTCAAGATTTTTCACAACCTCTATTCGAAAAACCAGCGGTTTTTGGAAAAACTCAAAAATCTTTTTCGTATTTTCTCAAAATGATGGTTGAACGACGCATCTCCAGTGAAAGTCAACTGTAATCCGATATAAAGTCAAATATGTTCTTTTTTGTTTGAAAGAGCATCAAATACTGCAGTGCCTATGAGAGTCATTTTTTTGATAAAGCTTTGCTATTCTTATATTGATAAGCGATTTTATAATATGAGTGGCGGTTTTTTTTTGAGAGGTTTTTCAGTGATTGAACTTGTCAGGCCTTTTTTCCTTCACAAAGATAAGAGTGAAAAAAGGGCCCTCATAAGCACATCATCATGACATACTCTTTCAAACAAAAAAACAATCAAGCATATTGAATGAACACCTATAGAAAATTTTTGGGGACACGGTAAGCTATTTTCGACCCTTGTTTGGTTTGTATCTCCCTTATGCATCAGGATAGGAGACTGAAAATTTTACCACAGACGTCCTTTTACAGCCCCAACATATCCTCAAAGTTTCATAGCATTTGGATGTTCCTGGGCTGAGATCGATTTTTGAGGGGGACGCCCTTAAAATATAGAGATCTTTTAGAGTTGTTTTTCAACCATTCGATTTGAAATGATCCCATAGATAGAAGTTCAATAGTGTTAAGTCTAGTGATCGAGGATCTATTATATTGGACCATTTTGCCGGATTCATCTGTCATCGATGATAAAACACTAACCCAAGACAATTGTTTAGGAATGCTTATGCTTCAGAATTCCTTTTATCTGTTTTTACAGAAGAAACGATCAACTGGCTTCATCATTTTTCAGCAAAAGAGAGCACCGGCTCATGTCTCGAAAACTGTTCGTGTCTGGCTAAACAAAATCGTTCATAGCAGGTGAATCGAGAGAAATGGCCTAATATAATAGGTCCTCGATCACTAGACTTAACACTATTGGACTTCTATCTATCGGATCATTTCAAACCAAATGTTTAAAAAACAACCCTAAAATATTTCTATAATTTAAAGACTAAAATAAAAAAAGAAACCAATACAAGAAAGAAAAAGCTTTCTATTATGTTTTTTTTTAAATGAAAAAAATCTAAACTTTTGTAATGAAGTCAAAGGTATTACTTTCAAAGAGTATTTATGAACTTCATCTTTATGAAACAAAATTTACTGATATTTTCTTCAAAATATAAAAAAATTATTAGACTAAGCTTGATTAATAATGGACTTATACGCAAATCTTAAGTGATCATGATTTTTGGGACACCCAGTGTATGATTTCATATTATTCATGAGTTTGAAGTGTTATTTAAGCAAAACTAATAAAAAATGAAGTGATAACAACAGCATTCATATAAAGTAGCAATGATACAAATATAGAGATTAGTGTTGAGGGAGACGAAACTACGAAGAAGGACCGAGAAGTACGAAGAAGTACAGAGAAGTACGTGGAAGTACAGAAGTACGCTTGTTCCCCGTTGAGAAATGTACACCAGTATGTATAAAAAACAATAGCTTTTAGAACATCGGCTATAGCAGCTACAACGTGTTTTACATTTTTAATCCCGTAAGGGATTGCGCTAACAGCTTTTTTCTAGGGCTTAACTTAGTCATAAGTTACGCACTAGGGTGTGGGTGTAGGTCTAGAAAAGTGTATTACCTACATCCACATCAACACACCGACCCACATTCACACCTACACCAATCCACATGAATACCTAAACTTTAGGTAATCTTTGTAAGCAGAATCGATTATGTATTAGATCAGTCATTGGATAAATAAGACCATTTGATGGGTAGGTATGTTGTTCGTCGATAAATTTTGTCGACACAGCATATCAAAAAAGTTAACTATAACATGATGATTACTTGTTTTTATAGAAAAAAAATGACATGACCTGGGATGTGGGTGCTTGTCTTCCTTCGAGCCAGACATTCTGGGATGAAATAACTAATCCAGTCAATGATGTATTTCTCTATTTGAAGAGAACATTCCAAAGTCAAATAACTGTTCACCACGGAATCGATCCACTCATCGTAAACACCATTATTCACATGACCATAAACATTATTGTAATCACATCTAATCAATATAAACAGTTCAGACAATGATCAAGATCACTATTATGAATCAAACAACCAACACGATAATGACCACTTGTACCGATACACAGGTAGTTTTCATCACAGAAACAAAAAAGTTTTGTATTAGTTTTACAGATGTTATGGTATTTAAAAACAACAGGACCGAACAGATAGATATAGACCTTGAAAAATAACAATAGGTAAAAATCAAATCTCATTTTATTTCATTTCATTATAGATTTATCTTTAGATAACAACGACAAGACGTGTGGACAGTGCTGTGGAAGTGAACTGATATTAATCGTCGTTCAATTTTGAATGTACATAATGAAATATTGTGGTGCTACTAAATCTTCATAAATTTTCAGATGTCCAAGTATAGATGCACGAAAATCATCATGATAGTAAAGAATTATTGTTGCATAATCATGATCGATTTGCTGGTGTGTGATCACAAGTTTTATTGAAAACTGAAAGTCATACAACTGAACAACAGATGCTTTCTTGAATCGACATTGACTACCATAGAATTTCTTCGAACAAATACACTTATAGGATTCATCTCGAAAAAGATCATTAGTAGAAAGGCAAGCTCCAACAAGCATTTAAATCGCATTCATTATATTTCAAATGGCAATGTCGGCCGAATTGACCCAATGGACAAATACAATAAATATTGTTATTTTCATTCAGCATTCGTTTGTTATTATCATTACGGCAAAGTCTATCGGTTGAACAATATGTTTTGCATTGATGTTCATACATACTGCAATCTTTGTCGTAATAACTACTTTTATACGAAAAATAATAAGAATTATTTTTGTTGAAAATATCGATATACAAATACTATTTTTAATTGCAGAGATGTTGTGAATACGAATCAAATGTTGTATTTCCGAGCCAAGATGGAAATTTTAATACAACACTCAAATGAAATGAGGCAGATAATCAAAATAAATCGGATAATGTCAACAGCCAACTTCTTTTATATTTTGTCTTTTTCTTTTTGAAATAAGAAAACATTAAAATGAACAGAATATGAATGTGATATATATCACATTCATTTTATGGAAAAAACCCTCATGTTTATATGTTAAAATTGAGTCTGAACGTGAATAGAAAAGATAAAATTTATGCTTCATGTTTTCAAAAGTTGAACTAATCATAAATTCATGATGATTAATAATTGTATTGTTGAAACGAAAATTGGTTTATATTTTTAGCGGATCATTCAATACAGCTTTTAGTGATTTGTTTTCCGATCGACATATTTAATAAGAGTGATTTGATCGCTGAAGAATTAAAATACCAATACTTGTTTTACCTATGATCACCCTGTATCGCTGTGAAATAGGCTAGGCTGTTACACGTTGCTGCGCACTTTCTCTTTTTCTTAGTAAATATTCACTTGTTTTGCGTTCGGCAATTGTGGATTAAAAACAGCAGGATGGTGGTGAAAAAGAAGAAGAAATGTTAAAAAAAATATGCATACACGCATACAACATACAGGAAAAAAAGGTAAGTAGAGCTTCGATCAACTTAATTTTTTCTTCGCCATCATCTCTCCCACTATTCTACTAAAAATTTTATAAATTGTAAATTACTAATTTATTTCTAAATGATATCGTATTAACAAACAACTAGTAGAGAGACTAATGTAGTTGGGTATTCTTGCACAAAATTGTCTGGAACCCATAGACATTTTCTAAAAATACTCTTGACTTATCCTGATCTTCATAATAATTTTATTTGATGCACAGTTGCGTAACGTTCTAACTTAGCAAACAGCCTGTAATTTTACAAACTTTCCTATAATCTTCAAGCAGTTGAGTATTAAAGGAAAACACAATATTATCTCGAAAGAATACTTTTATGTAATTTTAGTAAAGTTTAAGTCCAGTCTGACAGGCTAAATAGGTGGTTGTATGTAGATCAAATGGACAGAGTTCGAGTTTTATGCTGAGAATAACATATGATACATAGCCCCTACCCACACCAACACATCCACATCCATTTGTTTTTGAACCATCACTTGTTACACTATTCTAGATGGATTTGAGGTGATCAGTCATAACAGATGCCATATCATATCAACTGTAAAGGAGTCATCAAAGGAGAAGGCAATTTACCATTGAATATGTTTCGTTAAGAAGTCTTTATTTGATTATTTAAGACCACTCCCCTCCCCCCGCCCTCAAAAATCGATCTCCACCCAGGAACATTCAAATGACATGAACATTTCAGGATATGTTGGGGCTAGTGAGACATGGCTATGGTCAAATTTTCAGCCCTATAACACGATGCTTAACCAAGATATGCACCAAACAAGGAGCAAAAATAGCTCTTTAGTATCTCCAAGTTTTCTCTGTGGGTCTTCATTCTAGACATTTAATTTTTTTGTTTGAAAGAGCATGCCAGAATGCAGCGACTCACGTGGCTCTTTTTTTAAAGTCTTACTTTTTAGGGGAAAAAATCGGAGCGAAAATTCAATGACTCAAAAAACCTCTCTAAAAATTGCGCTACTCCGATAGAGATGTTATCTTCTATGATAATAGAAAAGCTTATTTTAAAAAAAGAGCCACGAGAGTCGCTAGCCCTGCACATAAACTTTCAAATAAAACAAAATATTTGGCTTTGTCTCTTACTCTGATGGGGTTCTGCTGGAGATACGTCGTTGAACCCACGTTCTGAGAAAAACGAAAAATGATTTTCGGTTTTTTGTAAAAACGGCCTGTTTTTCGAATAGGGGATGACGAAAATCTTCCAAAATTTTTGAAAAAAAAGAGATGTTGAATAAAGATTTTTGTCGCATATGAAAGAGCAGATGACGCGCTATGTCTCCATAAATTTCTCTGAATTTCGATGATTCTGACGAAAAGTGACTTTTTCGAGGGGGGGGGGGGGCTAAGTAATTTTTTCGCCATCACATTCAAATCGAAATGTAATGATCAAATATGAAAGGGAGAGCATCTTCAACTAGCGATTTTGTTTTTACCCACATAAGTAACAAGTGAATCTATCATTAATGGTGCTATATCCGGAGATTCTCATTTGCAAACATAAATAGAAAATAAAAACCTGGTTTAGACAGTTAAGTAAAATTTCATATAATGACAAGCATCATAAATTATACTTTTATCTACTTTTAATTCCTTTACGATATTCATACGTATTTTTTAATACTTTTCTAGTTTTAAAAAATAAAAATATTTTATTTTTCTTTTGTTGCAATTTTTGAGTATGTGTGCATCATCATTTATTTCATTTTCAGTGTTATCTCTAAATTGCAATGGTTTGTCAGCTTGTAGAAAATATGCTAATCTCGACTTAAATATTTTCTCAATATAAATGACGTCCATCCTTTTTTTTACATCGCTCTTATTCTTATTTGTTCTAGAATATATTATGTCCAGGGAATTTTTCATAGTCAACTTCAGAGCAAGGAAGAAAATGCAACTTCAGCACTTCACAGAAAAGTTTAAAGGATAAGTAGTGGAGCAGTGTTTTCTTTCTTTATCGTTACATTATTCTTATCGTATGGTTTTGATGATTTTTGCATCGTTTTTAAGACATGTTCTTGATTTGACATTAATTTCATGGAATATGCTTGAGATAAAATAAATTACTTCTTGTAAAAGTAAAAATCAGAAAAAAAAGGCCAATGAGTTTGACAAGCATGTAAAAAAAACGTTCGTTTCATTATTAGAAAGTTCATTTCTAATTGATGTCTCTAAGCATTTTCTGACATTCTAATTAATTTTTATAATTTTGATCATATTTCTTTTCTTTTTCATCTAGTTCATATCAGTAGTAAACCATTTGAATTTATTTCAATAATGGGACATGGAATAGTAGGTTTTATAATAACTTTCATTTCACTTATTCATGCGTCATTTGCAAGTGTAATTTCGGCTATTGTCATTGGTATTATTGTCTATCATCAATATCATAATCGTTTAACACGAGAAGAGAAAATAACTCTCATTCTCTCTGCTAATATCTTTTTTAATACGATTATCTATTCAGTGTTATTAGCTTCATGCAATATTCATACATTATTAGGCGACATATATGAGCAAAATTTTGATTCATCATGGTGTATATTTAGAGGATATCTTGTTACTATCGCATGTTGTGGTCTATATCATGCTTTCGCTATTCAGGTAATTATCAAAAGAATGTCTATTATGATTTGCAAGGTTCAAAAAGTTTAAAGATGATAATTTTATTAGTAGACAATATAAAAATGAGCAATACATTATAAATGATTCATCAGTATAAAACTTGTTACATTTTGATAATGTTGATAATAGTGAAGATATATTCATTAGAATAAGCATAGAAGAATTTTCTATATGTTCCTCTCTATTATAATGAACTTCTAATAAAATGTCAATTATTGATAAAAGAGAATTATGTAAAAACATCATAACGAATGCTGAATTTTCTAAAATAAAGTCTGACTCTCCGAGAGTGTAGATTATTAAGATAAAAAAAAACCTTGTTTCCACACTTTTTATGAAGTTTTGTTTTTGTAAATAATTTTTGACATATGATATGTGGGTATTGATTTCCATTCTTAACAGAAGCAAATGATGAAAATAAATACAAAATATCCTTGAAAAACATGTATATAATATAGAACATCCCAAACTATTGTATTCTAATATAAGAATTTGCGAAATGAACTAGATAGAATGATAGAACAAATAGTTTTCTATAAAACGAGATATTGTCTGGCTCTATACGTAGTTTTTGCTCTGAATGATATGCATTTTTATATGAAATATCAAAAATAGCTCTTGAATGTTCTATAAAATTTCTATCATTTTACATTGTTTTGTACAGAATTTACTCACAATAGCTGATGCTAGAATGCATTGATGTTGGACACTGTTTATTATAAGTGTTAGCGCCCAATCTCAGATTTAGTCCAATCTGGAATTAGACATTGGATGGATATTAAATCAGGTCAATTTCGGATTGATTAGCTACAACATGTCCAATCTGAGATCCGCCTTGAAATTTTAAGCAAAGCTCAGATTGATGGAAAAGACTATCGAGAAAGCATTTCCCTATGTTTAAGTTGATTAACTCTGTTTTTAACCAGCAAAAAGACTTCAATAAGATATTGAAAATCCGAAGAGAACCCATTTTATTAAGATCTATCTTCACGATTTGTGATCGTTCATAAAACTATAGGCCTTTTCCAAGGTGTTTAAGAAGATAAACCACCGCTTGCAAGACTGTTTTTTCCGAAATTTTAAGAATGCTAACACATGTTCTCGTTTTTATATTAATGTCAAATCGAGGATCTGAAGACAGACAGGGCGAAAGTAAGAGTCAGGATGGATGTACAAGTTCATTTTGTGAAAGTGAGATTTTCTGCAGTGCAATTGGGACGTGTTATAGGCTTTGATAAAATAAATTTTGTCATATATATAAATCCAGTCGGCCTAAAAAAAGTAGATTCCGATAATCCTTCGAATTTTTGGTCTAAATAGAGACTTTCTTCTTGAAATAATTAAATACCTAATCAAACATGAAAGTTTAAAAAAAGCGTGTATGTGCAAGAAATTTGTTAAAACATGCGTTTACTTGCAGAAAAATTTTTATTTGTCTTATTTTACGCGCGATCTTATAAACTTCTCCCCTTAATAGGAGCCCCCTAGGCTTGTAAACTTCCCAGCATCCAAAATTTTCGGAGGGAGCTACTATTAAGTCCTGAATTTTTTCAATAGTTGTACATGTAAAAAAGATGCCAACGAATTTCAGGGGTTATTACGGTTTTTTAGAGTTTTCATACGACTGCCGAGGAGATTTCGAGACTTTTACGCTGGCATATAAGAAAATTAAATAAATTTTTTTCTTAAGATCTTGAATTTCGGCGGTTTTGCGGTGAAAAAACCAATAAAATTGTTCAAAAAAATTGTAAAACTAAGGGGCTTCTAATACATTAGTCATATCGATCCTTCGGGAAGAGGCTTCTAATAACGGGAGGGCTTCTAATGTGGGAGCGGGTTAAAGGTATTTGAAATATTTTTAATTTTTTGTGTATAAATGCAGATCAACAATACATGCATAGAGATATATATCTCCAAGTCATGAATACAAATACGAATTTTAAGGTTTTCCAGTAAAACATACGAGATCATGCATGACTTTAATATTTGCAGATACTTGCATACACTGATCTTGTATGTTCATGCAAGATATATGCCTCGCGTGAAAATGCCTATGTATCAGCTGTGTCTACCCGCAAGATGATAAAATCTCTTCGAAACTCTGCATGCAAATGCAAAAGAATCCTATTTACGAAAAGGAATAGTGAAGCGATTCTGCATTGACATGCAAAATTTGATTATTTTGTAGTATACATGCTGCTCAATGCAAGAATTTAGTTTTTTCATCGGCGCATTTTTATTTATTTCTCGTAAAAATGCAATAGATCTTCTATAACCACACCATATTGGCTCAAAGAACTTGTTCAGTTTTGTGAAATTCTTCATAGTTATTAGCATTCATGTACATGCATGTCCGAAACTTATCGAATGATCATTATGTCCTTCAGTTTTCATTATATATCTAATGTAAGTAAATGGTCAAATGGTGAAGCAGTTCGTCTTAAAAAGCAAAGTATGTATGTTCGAATCTTATCTCTTGAAAACAAACTTCTGCGTGTTAATGTATATATGTGACATGCGCTTCCTTTTTTAGCCATTCTAATATTGTCTTGCATGGACACGCAAAGAGTTTCTACAAAAGTACTCGTATGTCCCCACATGTAAAAATATTAAGCATGCAGATGTGGAAACTTTCATGCGTGTATTCGCGAATATAGTGTACTCTGTGACGCATTCACACGCGTGCTAAGTCATGATGATTCATGCATGTGCATGTATCTATAATATTGGGTTTACACGCGTTTTTTAAACTTTCGCGTTTGACTGGATAATTAAATCAAAAAAAAACTTCTTGCACATTAGTTATTCGAAGAAACCAAGTGATCTCGCAATCCATAATCTTGAAGATTAAGTATTTATTTCAACAGAAGTTTATAAACACTCTCATAACTGTAAGACTTATATCTCTAGAATATTTCTACATTCGTAATATCAGTTTTCAATATATAATTGAGGTCTTTTACCTGGCTAAAAAATAGAGTTAATCAGCTTATCTCTTTATCCCCGAAGTGGTTCCAGATGAACCACTGATGAAATCATCACAAAAATAGAATATTAGACTCCCCAATATGCTAATGGTATAAACCGATCTATTAGGGTGGGTGTGGGTGTACGTGATAGTCATCCGTCTACATCCAACACCCACGCTCGCAAAAAATAGTTTACGTATTTTATATATGCAAGCATAAAATAGTTTTGATTTCGACTATGCCAATGCAATGCTTTTCTATCTTGAAGCAAACTCGTTTCACTTTTCTAGCTTTTTGATATTAAGAAATATCACGTTATTCGTTGAAAATAATATTTTTTCTTTATTCGAAATCCAGAATTTTGTCATAACTCTCTTAAGTGCAAAAGTTTCGAAACTGATATTGATTTATGTGCATATATAAATATTATATCAAGTTGTAATAATTTTCTAGGCTTTCTATCGTCTTTGTCGTATTGTGTATCCAAATCATAGATGGTTTCAATTTTACTGGCTTTATGTCATTGCAATACCTGTTCAGTTAGCAGGAGCTTTTATTGTTTTATGTCCTCTTTTGATCTGGCATGATATCATATATTTACCTAATGAATATTATTGTTTTGCTCCATTCACAAAAGTTCGTGGTTTTCTTTGGCTTCTACTTATTGCTTATGGATCACCTCTCTTTCTTTTATCTCTTATATATCTTCGTATTACAATATTTATTCGTCAACAACCCAATAATCAAACATTGATTGTAAACCAACGACAACAACGAGATTTGGCTGCTATTCAACGAATTTTTATTAATGTTGGTCTATTGGTGGTTTGTGGAACTCCATGTGTAACCCTTCTGTTAATGTACTTCATCACTGGTATTGAACATCCATTAAGCTATCGTATTACGTGGGCTGGACCCGAAGTGTCCATGGGAATATTAAGTGTACAAATGATATTTATGACACCCCAATTGAAAAATATTATTATAAGACGACGACAAAATCGTGTGACTACTTTAGATATTACAATTCCAATGAGGGCCATTGCCACTAATCAATGATTGAATTATCGATTAGTAT